CCCAAAAAAACCAGCAAGCAAGAAAACCCAAAACTTTTCAAAACTTTGAAGTTCTGATGAGCTTTAAAGTTTTGGGTCTTCGTGGACACGCGACTGCTGAGTTTAAGATACGATGCGGGAAAATGTTTCTCACTGTATTTCAGGATTCTTGCTTTTGATGATTAAATCAGAATGACTGATCACGTGGTAGGAGTTCGGTGGTGGGGTGTTCAGCAATGCAAAGGCTGCTTTCATGTTATATTTTCCTTGTGGTAAAGCAAGTGGCACGCTTCCTTTTTATCAGAGCTAGCTCTGGTGACAATGCCACGGTCAGGATGTGTTCCTTGTAGGTCTGGAGATCTGGGTGTGTAGCAAAACATAGCATTGCCAACATCTGTGGTGCGTATGCTGTACTGTAGAAAGTTAATTGAGTAGCCTAGGATATACCCATTTCTGGAATACATCTCAGAGTTATAGTGTGCTGGTCAGTTTCAGATGATTAAAAAGCATTTTTAACCAGGCGGATTTGGCAGCTGTGCAAGCAAGTAAGATTTTCTCCAGGGTATCTGGGAAGCCCCATTCTCTGCCCAATAAGCACTGGACATCTTTACCCGGCGGCACTGTGTCCCATAGATTGCAGCAAAACACTGGGCAAGGTTTTGCCCATTATCTTCTCTGTGTGATGGGCTCATGGGGAAAAGGTGACCCATGAGCCCTTGCTGATGAAGAGAGGAGGAAACCTATATAAGGCTGCTTCCCCTGGAGCTCGCAGCCATTTTGCTTTGAGAGCTTCCTGCCTGCCCATGCTCAGGTTAGAACATTCACTGAGCAATTTAGGGTCGCTGGTTGAAAGGGCTGGGAAGGAATGTTTCTCTCTCAACCTGATTGGCACTTGGTTGGGTCCCCCACGCCCGCCACCTTTCCCTCAGTGAAATTATGGCTTTCCTTCGTTAGGTGGAAGAATATCACTGGGGAACACAATTTTTGCTGCGTTGACACCTGCAGTTGTTCTAACCTAATTTCGACGTGCTGATTTCATATATGAAGTTAGTTTTGTTCTGTAAGCTATAGGTTTTTTTTTTGCAATTCATGTTTTTCACTTTTCATCATAATCTTTGTTTTTCACAATGCAAGAATTCAATATTTTATTAAACACATAGCCAGATTAGTACAATATGAGTATAAATATAAGTGACTTATATAGCATTGAACATGACATGTATAGCACTGAAAATGACATTTATATCTATGTACAGTTGGAGGTATGCAAAAAAAGTATTCCCTTGGGATACACAGTATACTGGGGAACAATTTCTTTTCCATTTTCTGTTGCATGAGATTTTTCAACTGTTCTTATAAGCGTGGGTTCGGTATTTGCCTGGTTGGAATCTGCACCCAGGTACCCCAGTGAAACCTTGCTTGCTTGGCTTTCACCAATGCAAGGTTCAACACTGGCCGACTCCCATCATACAGGTTTGGAGTGATCCAAACCCAGCGGATCCATTCCATCAACATGGGGCTTGTGGAATGATGAACTGACCCTAGGACCCAATGCCATGCGAACCCTGGCCCTGCCTGCTGCTGTCAATAAAGATTTGGCCTGATTTTATCCCAACACTGTTGTACAGTCTGGTTATTTTGCTGCTCTCACGGGTCACATAATGCGCTTGCCTGGGCAAATGACAGTTAGTTTTATAGTACCTTAAAGACTAACAAATATAACAAAGTATTCAGTAAAGTGGGCGGTAGGCTATGAAAGCTCGTGCCATTGTAACTGGGGAATGTTTGTGATCTACCTTCTAGAGCTGATGCAAGGGTGATGGAAAAGCCATTTAAAAAGTGCTCCGTAAATCTGATAATTTCTCTTTGCACAAATTTCAATACTAATGACAGGAGCTTATTCTTTGCCTGGGGTTGGAATGCCCTTCCCAGATTTTGGAGTAGGAAGAGTCTTTGCCGTGAGGGGCCTCTGCCTGTGGCGGCTTCTGCAGACACATTATTTTTTTCTCCTTGGGGTATCTGAAATGCAGAACATGCTGTCTTCTGCAACCACTTACGTTGCAGCTCCCCACAGTCACTAATTAACTGAAAACCTTTTAGAAATCTTGAAATTAATATAACTGCCCAGTTACTGACATGCCTGGGGTGAGTTTGAATGTCTTGCTGAAGTGAAGCTTGGCAGACCTAACATGCAAGCCTCTCTGAGCCACACAGGAACATGTACGTGGGCAGACAAAATGGCATGTCTTTTGGGGGAGCGGGGGCTGTTAATTTTTTTTTTTAATGTGTGTGTACTTATCTGCAAGGCAGGATTAATGCTTTAATGAATTAATCACAGAGAATAATCAATTAAAGCTTTAAGCCCCACGGGGTGAAGGCTTGATAGGATGTTCTTTCCAAATAGCTTTTTATGCGGCCACTCTAGGCTTTGCAAAATTATCTACAGTAGAGATGGGCACTGTGGCTTTAAGTCCTCCAAGTGTTTGGCCCAGATTCGAACAAGGCCTGCTGGAAGAATTAGAGCTCTCTTATGCCACTGGAGAACTTTCCACATTTCATTGTTTGTAGTACTGAGTAGCCTGTCAAATAGAAATACTGGTATTCTTATCTCTTCAGTTTGCAAGCTGTGTCGAAAGAAAATAAAAAGAAATCAGGCAATGCTCAGGAATATGTCTTGACAGGAACATCTTAGTAAAATCACAGTATTCGTAGCCGTGCTAAAGACTTGGCACAGAAATCTGGACCCAGGAAGCATGACACATGGATTTTAGCTTCACAAAATGAAGATAAAGGGTTTGTGATGGGTTGTGCTTGTGGATTAGGCCAAAGGCCGAACCAGATCAGCATCCTGTTCTCACAGTGGCCAACCACATGCATATGGGGAGCTTGCCAGCAGTACCAGAGTGCGACAGCACCCTCCCCCTTTATGATCCCCAGCATCGAGTGGAGAAGACAACCCTTTCAAAATCTGTGAACCGTTTTTTGTGAAACTGGACAGAACTTCAGGCAAACTCTGGAGAAAGGACACTGGGTCTTTTGAAAAATATGCATCAAAAAAAATGAATTGGCCCTGCGCATAGGTAAACACATACCTGCACACGGGTCCACAATGGACCTGTAGTTTCCAGAACTTAGGTAGGGCGGGGAAGTAATAACTGAGGGGAGGAGGACAACAATACACAGTGCGAATACATCCCATCAAACACTGCCCACTAAGGCCAGAAGTATTGAGAGAAGTGTTCAGTTGAAAGCAGTGCTTTTTTCTGGGTGTATGCAAGGGTACACATATCCTTAAACATTTTGTGAATCTAAGTTTGGCCTCATTGAGGGGCAGTGTTTAAATATGAGTAGGAAAATGAGCGTACCCCTAAACATTTTTTAAGGGAAAAAGCACTGGTTGAAAGCACCCATGTGACCAAATGTGCAAGTCACATGTGCATTGACAACCAGTTGCGTATTCAGCCTTAGACTTGATCCAGACCAATGGCATTTAGCACTTACTAAGACTGGCTTTATGCAAGGATGGGACAATGTCATGAAGGATAGGTCTGTCTATGGCTATTAGCAACAACTAAGGGAGCGGGTGGTGCTGTGCCTAAACCACTGAGCCTCTTGGGCTTGCCGATCAGAAGGTCGGCAGTTTGAATCCCCGCGACGGGGTGAGCTCCCATTGCTCGGTCCCTGCTCCTGCCAACCTAGCAGTTCGAAAGCACATCAAAGTGCAAGTAGATAAATTGGTACCACTGCAGCGGGAAGGTAAATGGTGTTTCCGTGTGCCAGTAGTGGTTTAGTTATGCTGACCACATGACCTAGAAAGCTGTCTGTGGACAAACACTGGCTCCTTTGGCCTGAAAGTGAGATGAGCTCCACAACCGTATAGTTGCCTTTGACTGGACTTAACCATTCAGGGGTCCTTTACCTTTTACCTTTATTAGCAACAGCAACTCCATATTCAGTCCCCATATTCTTCTGAATGCCAGGTGCTGAGGGCCAAACAACAGAAATCAGCTATGGCTTTCATGTCCAGCTTATAAACTTCCCGGAGGCATCTAGCTGGCCACAACTGGAAGCAGAATGCTGGACCAGTTAGAACTTGAGTTTGATCCAGCAAGACAACTCTCATGTTCTTAACTTGAGACTACATGAATCATACAAGGCTGTGGGCTGCAGCCAAAAAATGCTGCCCCCCACATCACTCCCAACTTTTGCATTTACGTTTACCCTTTGCGGAATCTTTTATAAAGCATTTATTGAGGACATTCACCATCTGGTTCTCTTTATATGTTTCCCAGGTTTTTGTTTTGTTTTTTAGTTTCATCAAATTCCAGCTAGTCAACTGATTGTGGTTTAGATTTTATATAACATGTTTTCATATTTTGCCTGCACTGCGAGGACTTGGCCATACTGTCCTGGCAAGCAGCACTGTAAGCTTTCATCTATCTGCAGGTAACATCAGCCATTTGTCCAGTTTAATGGCTTTTAAATCTTCTTCTTCTTTCTCTCTCTCTTTGAGAAGTTTCATCAATTAAAACCAACATTTATTGTGCCTACAGTGAAGTTAAGTGGATCCTAAGTGGAACATTGGCATGAATCTTAAGCAAGCCATTTGTTTATGTTTTCACAGGTGTACTGGCAGTTGGACTCTGAACTCATTGCTGAAATCTGAGGCATCCTGAAATTTGGGTTAAATATTCTGATCCAGATTCTGATCCCAGAAACTCTGGTGGCCAAATCTACAATACTTTTGACAAATTTGTGTGTGACATGCTTATCGGAACAGGGAGCGAATATTCATGAGGCACATGCATTCTTCCAATGTTTAACTCCTTTCTGCCATCTCTGGGAAGTCTCATTAGAAAAGAGCAATCAACAAACTATTAATAGTGCTAGAAAAATTCAACATAATGTAAAACGTATTTCAGTATACAATATTCTCCATGCATTACTCCGTGCATTACTATTAAAATGACCCTGTAGATAATCAAAATGTTCCAATTTCTTGGGAAGTGTTTCTTACATATTGCTCTCCAGCATAGCTCAATTAGTAGAGCATGAGACTCTTGATCTCAGGGTTGTGGATTCAAGTTCCACACTGGGCAAAAGATTCCTGCATTGCAGATGTTGGACTAGATGGTTCTCGTGGTGCCTCCGAACTCTACAGTTTTGAGATTCTATAATTCTATGATCATGATTGGTGGATAGCTGTACAGTCAGATGGAGACATCAAATCCTGACATCTATTTGGGTTCCTATGCACTCTTTGTTCTCCTTTCATCATCAACAACTGGACATTTATGAATCATCATTCTGGCCATCACAATGCTAAATGTGTTCGTAGGATTTGGGATATCAGACTCCAAACCTTTCTATGATAGGACACTCTGAATGGTTTCGCTGTATATATATATATATATATATATATATATATATATATATACATACATACTGTTGATCTTTAGAGTAGAGGCACCTTTCACCCCCTCTGAGGTGAAAGATGTTCCAGTTCTCATCAAAGGATATATGCAACTACCAGAAGTCCGGCTCTCTTTCATTTCCTGTATGCATTCATATAATTATATTGTAAGAATATTCATTCAGATAATTACATTGTAAGCATTCTATCTATTGTCCATGGGCATCCATGTACCAGGAGGAAGATATCAAGGAAGAGCACAGCAGAAACATCCATTCCCATTGCTGATCCCTAGGCTGAATCAGGAATAAGCTGCTCCTGAAGCCACCCTTAAACTGACCTTAGTTTAGCCCAGGGGACAGCAAACTTTTTCAGCAGGGGACCAGTCCACTGTCCCTCAGACCTTGTGGGGGGCTGGGCTATATTTTTTTTGGGGGGGGATGAATTCCTGTGCCCCACAAATAACCCAGAGATGCATTTTAAATAAAAGGACACATTCTACTCATGCAAAACTTGGATCGTTTTGAAAGAGGGTTTGGCAAATTTGTGGAAGAGAAGGTTTTCTTCTTCTTCTAGTGGCTCCTGAGCCTGATGGCTAACCCTGATGGTTGCATTTGTTCTTATTTGCCTTTTCCTTTGTGTTTTAATCCCTTCTCCCAACTATCAAATGCACCTGGAGGCACTGTGCTGAGCTAAAGCTTTGGTGTCCTCTGTTCAGTGTCTGGTTGAGGAACTACCTGAGAAACCGATGTATGCAGTCTTATAAATAAATATTAAAATTAAATATGCATGCCTAATTTCTGCTTGCTTGCTTTTGCTTGTGATGCTTTGGGCTGCACCATATCCACTGACGCTGCTTGTAAGAGATTAATCATAATAGTAAAAATGAAGGTCACGCTTTTTCCTATCTATCCTAGTTTAGAAGCCTTTGAAGGACCTACCATTTAAAAGTCTCACATTTTTTAAATTAGTTGTCTAAATTCCTGCTCTTTATAAACTGAGCCATATATATATATATATATATATATATATATATATATATATATATATGTAAACACACACCTAAAGAAATCAGCAGGCAGCACTATGTCCTGCAGGAGCAAAAGGCAGCTGTTTTCCTTTTTTGAAAGCAGAGCACTCGCTAGAAGTCTCCTGCAAAGCGGCACTACTGTGCCCTGCATGCGTAATTGAGTCTCGACTGAGGCTCCACTGCTTCATCTTGCGGGTGGCAAGCTATAAAGCTGGCAATGCTACATCTTTTGCTCCCTGAAGCCTTTCCTTCTAACAAAGGGGAGGGGAAGAGAGCAATTTTTGCTTCGGTAGAAAGCAAATTAAAAGGGGTGGGGTGGGAGTTTCCAGCAAAGCGAAGCGGGGGGAAAGTAGACCCTTTTGCCATCAGACTGAACAGCGTAACTCCATGAATGACAACCTAAAGAGAGGCAGGCAGGTCGTTCACTTCACACCAGAATGTGATGCTATAAGCAGGAAGGTGAGTGTTGCTAAACATAGAATCATGGGGCTAGAGTGATCTGGAGCCGTCACATCCAGCCTCCTGCTTTGAATGTGTGCTGCAGTGTAATGTACCTTGGGAGTGGAGAAAATAATACAAAATCTGTAGCAGAGGGCAGTCAGGCAAGGTCAAGAGAAGCTGGTTGGCTTCTAACTTTTACCTTTGGAAACAAAGAACTGTATGGTAATTTGCAGGTTGCCTGTGGAAGCAGTGAATCACGTGGTGCCAAAGGTAAGATACGCAAATGAAATGCAAATGTCTATGTTGGTACAGTTGGGGTTATTTGTATCAGTCTGTATGCAGATCAATGCCAATTCGTAGAAACTGACTCAAATTGCACGCTTTGTTCTGAACCTGTTGTTTGCCTCTTTTTTCTCTCCTTTTCTTTTTCACATGATGGATGGGTTTTTATTCTACCAAGGAGTAGCATGGCAGAAAGAGGAGAGAAGTGAGTAACTAAGTTTCACTGCCAGTGCACTGGATGGAGTATGTCAAGCATGGGCTGAATATGAAGAACAAGCAGAGAGCCCCAGCACAACTATGTTTGGAAGCACAATTAACTTCATCTAGCAGGCAGCTGTGAGCATAAACACTTTAATGTAGGGTTGCCATATGTCCAGAATTTCCAAGACATAGCCAGGATTTGGCTGTCGGAAACTGTGTCTGGGCGGAAATCTCTGAAATGCCCAGGAAAATCCAGACGTATGGCAACCCATGTTGGTAGTGTAGATTTTGGCATATTTCCTTTAGAATAGCTCAAAAACTTCTCTTTTTTGAGATTTTGCCAAAAAAAATACATTGGAATTCCATTGGGATTAATGGCCCTAGCTTGCTCATTAAGTTCAGTAGGTCTACTCTGCATAAAACTTAGTTAACTACCTGAGGAAACTCAGGGGCGTTCTCGGTAGTGGTGCCCGCCGTGTGGAACGCCCTCCCATCAGCTGTCAAAGAGATAAATAACTACCTGACATTCAGAAGACATCTGAAGGCAGCCCTGTTCAGGGAAGTTTTTAATGTGTAACATTTTAGTGTATTTTTTGTCTTTGTTGGAAGCTGCCCAGAGTGGCTGGGGAAACCCAGCCAGACGGGAGGGGTACAAATATATTATTATTATTATTATTATTATTATTATTATTATTATTATCCATGCATTTCAGTAGAGAGAGAAAATTTGCAAAGATAAACAGCATGTTCAGAATAAAAAACGTTGTGTGGCTCTTTGGGGACTATACCACTTGTTCAAACTGAGATCCTACCACTTCAGACTGCAGCTGTAGGACCACATGTTTAAATTCTTTGCCATTGTCTCTTAAACTGCTTAAATACCTAAGCTCCACTTGAACTTAACAGGATTTACTTTTGAGAGAAAAAACATGTACAGGATTGCTCTCTTAGGAAACTAGCCTATTATGGAAAAAGTCTTTATACTGTTCCCAGAGCTGGCCCTGCTATCAGGCAGGGTGAAACCTCTGCTTCAGGCAGCAGAAGCCCCCAAGGAGCCATACCCACAGGTGCCCTGCCTGACCTGTCACATCCGCTAGTGGTTGAGAAGTACCACCTCAACCAGTGCTGATTTGGTGTAAGATCACATCCATTTGGGGAAGATCTCACCAAAAAAATCAGCACAATCTTGCCCAAAATTGGAGTTAATGGTGGTGTCAAGGTGTTGTCAGCAGCTTCTGGCTGGTTGCCCAGGAAAGTATAAAGACAAGAAAAAGTTTCTTACAGTCCTTTTTTATTTCAAACTTTACAAAGAGAGACTATAGAACACTGCCTCTTGGATAATGGCGTTGTCCCAAGTGCATTTCCACCCCCCTTCTCTCCCACTTCCTCTTTCATCATCATCATCATCATCATCTCCTCTATGGGTGCCACTAAGTGCCCTCTGTCTTCAAGCTCTTTGCTCTCCTACTTCTAAGGCTTGCCGGGTTCTGGGAGATGGAGGGTCTGGAATGCTTTCTAGTGACAACGTGTCAGCCAGCTGTTGCTCTGGCTCTCCCATGATTTCCCAAATTTCCCCCTCAACTGCCTCTGAGTGGCAACCTCCCTCAAACCCCCATTGTAACTCTATACTGTCTTCCTCTTCCTCCTCCCTGGAAGGGTCAGGATGGGGAGGCAGTCTCCACCATTCCTCCTCTGCACAGTCCCTGACAGCGTGTGGGCACACACTAACACACATACATCCTCTCCAACATTCCTCAGATGAAAATAGGGACATTTTCACCTGAGGAATGTTGGAGGCGATATTGCCCCTTCAGCACTTGTGTTTCTGTCACCCCTGCAGGAGTTCTCACTCCCCACAGCTGACCCTCATTGACCTCCCTTTTTTGGTGCCCCACAGCCTCCACACAAAGCATTTCCTACCAGAGAAAGGGCATGTGCCACCACCAACACAGCAACGGGACACAAAAATACACACCCTCCACTGTCCTGAGAATAACCCTTAATCCTGGTTTTATTTTATTTTGTTCTTTGTAAATTTTAGAAAGCGGCATAAGAAGACAGGGACACACAAAGTTTTTTGTTTTAAATCAAGACTCCTTGCTCTCTGCTCTGCTCCCCCTTTCTTCCCACCCATGGCAGCCCTGCCCTCTGCCTGCCCCTCAGAGCCAACACATCACACAGGGCTGGGCCTCAGTGGGGGCAGTCTCTCCTCTTTGCCCACTTTCCAGCAGCCATTACAAGCTACTCAAGGTAAGAGGCTGGCAGCGGTGGCCATGCTGAGGCAATGGGATGCTCTGTTACATAAATTTTTATTAATTTTCAACACAATTATACAATTTTATCCAAATTTTCACAAATTATCTCTTTTTGGACTTCCTTCAGCTTCTCTGGTAATCATCCATATTTACCTCTCAATTACACATTCCCTTTATTTGTATTGCAGTTTGTCCTCCCGCCCCCTTCTATTTCTTTTTAGCAATACACCTCAGTTTTCACAGTGTTTCTTGAAACCCCACTAGCGTTGTTTGCACATCACATACATTTTTAAATATTCTACAAACTTTCCCCAGTCTTTGATGAACTTTTGGTCTCGCAGATATCTAATTTTCCCAGTTAGTTTGTCCAGTTCCGCATAATCTGTCAGTTTCATTCTCCATTCTTCTATCGCCGGTATTTCCTCTTGCTTCCATTTCTGGGCCAATAAAATTCTTGCTGCTGTAACTGCGTATTGGA